CCCCCCCGCGGCCCAGCCGTGTGTCACCTCAGGCCTGGAAGTGGCGCTTGGGCTCCTCGCTGGGCTGTCGCCCCGGTGCTGCCTTCCCTCCGGCGTCCCGGGGTGGGGAGGGGGGTACTTGGGCCCCTGTGGAGGAGGGAGGCGTTGTGAGGCGATGGGCGCCGTGCTGTGTGGCTGTCCCCGAGGACCCGGCCCCTGTCACCCCACACCTTGTGTGCAGCCGCTCCGTGAGGGGTGGCTCAAGTAGGGTCCCTCATCAGGCCAGGCCTCCTTGAGGCGTTGCCCACAGAGAAGCCACAGGAGGGTTTTACACACGGGTGTGAGAAATGTCCTGTCCTATCCCCCCAGTTACACAAAATTGGTGAGATTGTGCTTCTCCTCTTCCCGCCTCTTCTCGCGACGCCTCAGTGAAGGAGGGGTGGTCGGTGTGTGTTGCCTCTCAGTCGGTGTCACCTCCATGGCTGGAGATGCTGCCTCGGTGAAAGCTTCTTGCTGGTTTCTGTCTTTCCTAAGCAAAGAGATACCCTTTCACTGCGTTGTCCCAAGGATGTACACAACCTCCTGCAGCTCGTGCTGAGTGAGCACGGCCTGCGATAAGTTGTCTGGGTTGGAAGTTGTGGCCATGAGACCCTGATCTCCTTTTGCAATAGGGTGGGTTGAGGGAGCAGTGTCTCTGGAAGGATGGGCTAGTGATGGATGTGTGATGGGTGGAAACAGGTCGGGTATTCCCTGTCCTCCTTAAAAAAGTTTGGGCCTGTTCCTTGTGTACAAAATATGTGTGCTGAACTGTCAAGCCTTATCACTTTAGGGTGTTGTCCGCATACAGAGAAAAATGTACAAATTGCCCGTATCTCTCACTTGTGTTGATGCCCCCACCCAAAATGAGAAGGGCAGGTTCGGAGCGTGGTCTGTATTCTTTCAGTTTGTGTTTTCACAAAGTTGGTGATGAACTTCCCTGCATTTACACTGTGATACAAGGAATAAAAAGAGCTGTGGAAAGGCAGAGGCACAGACCTGAACAACCCAGATGCCTGCTGCAGGCATCACAGGCTATTTCATGTCCTCTTCCTTCAGGCTGTTCAGAATACCAGGTCTATGGTAGAATGAGGTCCTCTAGGTTCTGTGTCCGTCATGAAGATCCTGTTGTCATCTTCAGGGAGCTGGCAAGTCACAGCCTCGCAGGTTCCTCTATTCCTGGTGGTGTCTATGGTTAAAGTTTGACAGCTTTATAGGAGAAAGCGACATGAAAGAGCCTGCTAGGAATGATGCTGTAGTGGTAAAAGAGGGTACAGGTGGAGTACAGAGGAGGTGGAGTGACACCAATGACAGAAGCAATTGGTCAAAAGCAAGAGGGGTGGAAAGAACCTAGGTGATGAGGCGATGAGGTAGGGAGATTGTAAATACACTAGGCAGAGGTGATAACGTGGCAAAGTGTGACCGTGGAAAGAACCTAGGTGATGAGATGATGAGGTAGAGAGATTGTAAATACACTAGGCAGAGGTGATAACGTGGCAAAGCGTGACCGGAGAAACAAGGATATCACGGATTAGGAAAGAAACAGTGGAAGAAAGAGTTCAAGATAGGGGAGGAGAAGAAGGAAGATTGGGACGTGGTAGCTGAAAAGGACAGAGGAGGAAAATGGGACAGTTTGGAACAAAGGTGATGGTGCAATTAGCTTCTTTCCAGTGAGCAATACATGCATTTTCAGATGGATGCTAAAAATACTTCAGTGAAAACAGTCGCGGGGAAGCTGAACAGCCATACGTGCAGGGTGGGTTTGGGGGCTGCGGAGTGCTGACAGCGGGATGTGAGCCATACTTTGAAAGTCTTGGATTTGTACACTAGGTCACATCATACTGTAAACCTCCTTCTGATAACATATGGGAACTTATTTGGTGGTCCTTCATGTGAACAAGTTGTATGTTGTCAAAATGTAAATATTTTTGTCCTTTTTTTTTTCCCCTTAAATATAGTTTGTTTCCATAAAATGACACGAAGGTTACAACTTGTAAAGTCAAGTAAGCTTAATTATCTGCATACTTTGCTGTTCCCTGGGGACAGGCAATCTGGTGCTGGGGATCTGTGTCTTGGAAAGTTTTGGTTGTATTTGTTAGGAAATGTTCCAGTTTCCCTATTAGCGTCGATTTCTAAACTCTTAGTATTATTTGCGTGAGATTTTTAGGTAGTTTGAACTGCAGTTTTAGATTCCGTCAGGAAGCCTTTATATTTGTTCTAGGTGTACAGCAAAAAAAAAAAAAAACATGAGATTTTTAGGTAGTTTGAACTGCGGTTTTAGATTCTGTCAGGAAGCCTTTATATTTATTCTAGGTGTACAGCAAAAAAAAAAAAAAGGAAAAAAAAATTAAAATGGAATGATTGGTGCTATCTCCCACCTTTGGCACTATTTGTGAGCAGATGAAGAGCCTAAAAAACCTGCTTTGATTGTGTCCTTGGCAGCAGCTGTAGCGTGCAGGTAGATGCTCCTGGAGACCGAATTGTTCTGGTAGATGCCAAACTTGACAATTTAATTATGAATAGCATGTTTCTCATCTGGGGATCTGGGATTCCCTTTGTAGAATTCAAGTGAGTACTGAAATACCCGACAACTGCTGTTGTGTTCTCTCTGGGTTGCTGGATTAGAGGTTTCTGCGTGTGGCTCTTCCCTGCGATCCTGTGGCTCCCGTAGCAGGATGAGGTCGGTGTGTTCCTCGGAAGAGTGGGGTGAGTTGGGCTCATTCCTGGGGCCCCCACGAGCTGGTGTGGCTTCGATCCGCTCCAGGCGATGAGCTGTGCAGGGGTTTAGCTGATTGCTCGTAGTGGGAAGTGGATTTGGTGTGGGTTTGTGCTGTCAAACCTCAGCTGAGTATAGACTTTGCGCTGTTTCTTAGCCCTGGCTGGCACCGTTATTTTTGTGTGTGTCTCTCTCTGTCTTTAATGTGTTATCTACAAATGTGGATGGAGGCCGAGTTCAAAGAAACTGAAAGCAAGCGATCAGTCACTTGGGAGCTGTAGATACTGAGTGCTGCGGTGTAGTTTTGTTTTGGTACGGTCTCTCCAGTCACCTGTTGCTGTCTTCCTTGGTTTTCAGTCAGACTGGACTCTTTAACTGTGAATTGTAAAGATTGTATCCACTGCTTGGGTGTTTATTGATCTGGCAGAATTTAGATAAGTGGAAGTGGAGCAGTCCTTTGTTCGCTGTGCATTCACCTGGAAGTCAGACAGTTTAATAACTCTGCAGGAAAGCAAACATTTGGGTGAAGATAAATTAACCCATTTAATAAAACACAAAGAGGGCCTTCATTCTAGTCTATTCAAAACACACGTGCTCAAAAGCAGTTTGGAAAATACTCTGATTTAGGTGATAAACTCTTTTGGTTGCACATTCGTTGGGCATAACCCAGATCATCGCACACTCAAGAGAGTTCTCTTGAGTGTGTGTATTAAAAACAAGAAGCCATCCTGTAAATAAAGTCCAGGTTTCCCTGAGCCCACAGGCTGTACCCTCACTTGAGGTTTGGACTGAGATGCCTGGGAAAGCATCCTGTCCCCCTAAATGCAAGATAAGCTTTGCAGTTAGGCCTTTGCAGCGTAAAAGACGCAAAACTTATCTTTCTTTTTGCACAGGGGGAGGAATTGTGGGAAATTCCTGAAAGATTAGTCCCCTGTAAGTAATGCTAGAGCTGCGTCCACGCGGCTGGTCGCGCTGTCGTGCTTGCACTCACCCAACCTTTATCTTGGAGCCATTTCGGTGCCAGCCATTGAGAGGTGGAAGGACGAGTGCACTTGAGTGAAGGGCGTTT